TAAATATTTTACATGCATTATTTCATTTAATAGCCACAATGACCTTATGAAGTATAAATTATTATTATTGTTTTTGAGGCAAAGTCTCGCTTTGTCACCCAGGCTGGAGTGCAGTGGTGCGATCTCAGCTCACTGCAACCTCCGCCTCCCAGATTCAAGTGATTCTCCTGCCTCAGCCTCCCAAGTAGCTGGGATTACAGGCTACCGCACCCAGCTAATTTTTGTATTTTTAGTAGAGATGGGGTTTCACCATATTGGTCAGGCTGGTCTCGAACTCCTGACCTCGTGATTTGCCTGCCTCAGCCTCCCAAACTGCTGGGATTACAGGTGTGGGCCAGTAGTCAAACTCTTAGAAGTAGAAAATACAATGATGTTTACCAGGAGCTGGGAGGTGGGGGAACAGGGGAGTGGTGGCAGCTCAGTGGATACAGAGTTTCCGTTTTTCCGGCTGAATAAATTATAGCGATCTCTCATTCAATAATGCACCAAGAGTTAACACTATTGTACTATACATACACTTACAAATGGTTAAGATTATATATTTTATGGAATGTGGTTTTTACCACAATAATTAAAAAGAAGAGCCTGGCACAGTGCTGGCCATATAAAGGCTCAATAAATGTTTGCTGAAAATTTAAAAAGAAAAAAAAAGGCCAGGCGCGGTGGTTCACCCCTGTAATCCCAGCACTTTGGGAGGCTGAGGTGGGAGAATTACTTGAGCCCAGGAGTTCGAGACCAGCCTGGGCAATGTGGCAAAACCCTGTCTCTCAAAAAAAAAAGTATATTAAAAAAATTAGCCTGGCATGGTGGTGTGTGCCTGTAGTACCAGCTAGTTGGGAGACTGAGGTGGGAGGATCGCTTGAGCCTGGGAGGTCAAGGCTGCAGTGAGCTGAGATCGTGCCACTGCACTCCAGCCTGGGCAACAGAGCAAGACCCTGTCACAACAGAAACAAAATCTTGAGTTGTCTAGTCCTGGCCTCAGCCTCAGAATATTTTTTTCCGAACATGTTAGTTTTGTGGGTTGGGAATGCTGGCTTGATTTCCTCCTTTTTGCCTTTTGAGTGTGTGCAATTTATGGTATAGCTGGGAAATGTCAAAGTCAAGACATTTGTAGGAAAATCACATCACTTAGCCCCATCTCCTGTGCCGGACGAGTCCTGTGTGTGCGCCTGGTGACAATGGCTTTGAGTCTGTCAACTCCAGACTGAGGTCAGCTTTACACACCCATAGTTTCCAAAGTTGAAAACAGGCCTGCCTCAAACGGTACCTGCTAACATCTGGGGAGCCTTTTCAGCTTACGGAGCACCCCTGTATATGTGTTTGTCTTAGTTCAGGCCACCATCTCCACCTTACCAGGCATCCAGAACCTTCTCCACACTTTGCCAACAGAGTTCGTTTGCAGAATTGAGACCTTAGTTAAGGTTTGTTGAGGTTTGTTGTTTGTTCCCACCCACATTCCCTTGAGATATAAATAGGAAAAAAAAAAAAAGGAGGTTTCATGAGTAAGACAAGACATTTGAGCTACATCCACTTGATCCTTGAAAAGGAAATCTAAGAGGTTGTAACTATCACTTTTTCTAGCCTATATAAGGTAGGTCAGCAAGGTAGCAAAAGCCCATCTGTTGTTTTGCTCCTTCAGCTCTTTTTCCTGATTCTTCCTGGAGGGGAACCTAAAACGGTGAGTAACTGGTGGACCCACCAGACCCCAGACTCTTCTTCACTGCGTGCAGTGAGTAACTGGTGGGCCCACCAGACCCCAGACTCTTCTTCACTGCGTGCAGTGAGTAACTGGTGGACCCACCAGACCCCAGACTCTTCTTCACTGCGTGCATTCGTACAAGGCTTAGGTTCTTAGACTCCTCTTTTCCCATGGCTTTGACACCTGGAAGGATTTTAGTCTCTGGGAGACGGGCTTTTCCTCCATCTGCTTCCGCCTTTCAGGACAGATAGCAGGCCTTCTGCAGAATGTCTGCAAGCGGCCAAACTGTATCCTTTCCCCCGTGGAAATTGCAACATTGCATCTCTGGGGCTGGTGTAGGAAAATGCCAGTGCATTTGTAACATGGTTTGTAGCTGCCTGTGGAAATGACTGATTATGTCAGTATAATTTTTATAAGAAAACGATTGAATCCTTCTTTAGGTCATGTTTTTTGTTTTTCTTTTTTCATTTTTGGCATATATTCAAAAGAAGGTTCTGAGATAAAAAGGGCTGGGGTCTTTTTGGTATCTGGTTTTAATTTGGATATTTTGTCCCGTCACTTAATACAAAACCATGCTTATCACATTTTAAAAATTCTAGACAGGCCTGGCTCGGTGGCTTACGCCTGTAATCCCAGCAATTTGTGAGGCCAAGGTAGGCAGATCACCTGAGGTCAGGAGCTCAAGACCAGCCTGGCCGACATGGCGAAACCCCGTCTCTACTAAAAACACAAAAATTAGCCAGGCGTGATAGTGCGCACCTGTCATCCCAGCTGCTCGGAAGGCTGAGGCAGGAGAATCACTTGAGCCCAGGAGGCGGAGTTTGCAGTGAGCCGAGATGGTGCCACTGCACTCCAGCCTGGGCAACAGAGTCAGACTCCATTTCAATTGAAAAAAAAAATCTAGACACACATGCAGTTTCAGTGGGCCTGAGATGTGTTTCCCCTGGATGTGCACGTCCCTGCTTCTGGCTTATCACATCTCGTTTGTTCTGTGTGAGTAGGTAGAAAATGAGCATCACGGACGTGCTCAGTGCTGATGACATTGCAGCAGCCCTCCAGGAATGCCAAGGTAGGGGGGACGTGGGGCGGGATGGGATTTCCTCACAGCTTTGCACCTTCAGAAAAGCAACACAAAATCAAAATGTAGGCCAGGCAGCCAGATGCAGTGGCTTACACCTGTAATCCCAGCACTTTGGGATGCCGAGGCGGGTAGATCACAAAGTCAGGAGTTCGAGACCAGCCTGGCCAAGATGGTGAAACCCCATCTCTACTAAAAATACAAAAAAATTAGCTGGGCGTGGTGGTGGGTACCTCTGATCCCAGCTACTTGGAAGGCTAAGGCAGAGAATTGCTTGAACCCAGGAGGCGGAGGTTGCAGTGAGCTGAGATCGCGCCACTGCCCTCCAGCCTGGGAGACAGAGCAAGACTGTCTCCAAAAAAAAAAAAAAATGTAGACCAGGCATGGTGGCTCACATCTGTAATCCCAACACTTTTTGGAGGCCAAGGTGAGAGGACTGTTTGGGCCCAGGAGTTTGAGACCAGCCTGGGCAACATAGCAAGGCTCCATCTCTACAAAATAAAAATAAAAACTAGCAGGGCATGATGGCATGCGCCCGTGGTCCCAGCTACTCAGGTGACTGAGGTAGGAGGATCACTCAAGCCCAAGAGGTTGAGGCTGTGGTGAGCTATGATCACTACACTGCACTCCAGCCTGGACGACAGAGTGAAACTCTGTCTCTAAATAAATAAATAAATAAATAAATAAATAAATAAATAAATAAGAGCTTGGCTGGAAAGTTCGTGGAATCGGAGAAGAAAACTGCTATTTATTAGATAACTAAAATTATAGAGATCTGGGATCTGAGCACACAATTACACTTCTGTAAGACAAAAGAAACCTACAAAACATGAAAGCAAGAAATCACTGAAGGGCCAGGTGTGGTGCTCACGCCTGTAATCCCAGCACTTCCAGAGGCCAAGGCCAGTGGATCACTTGAGGTCAGGAGTTCAGGACCAATCTGGCCAGCATGGCAAAACTCTGTCTCTATCCAAAATACAAAAATGATCTGGGCATGGGGGTGCACGCCTGTAATGCCAGCTACTCGGGAGGCTGAGGCAGGAGAATCACTTGAACTCAGGAGGCAGAGATTGCAGTGAGCCGAGATCATGCCACTGCACTCCAGCCTGGGTGACAGAGTGAGACTCTGTCTCAAAAAAAAAGAAAGAAAAGAAAAAAAAAGAGAAAGAAATCACCAAAGGCCGTTTAGCCTGTTGAAATCCAGTGATTGCATTTCCCCCTACCAATTAGACCAGGGATGTTGGGGGCTCGGCTACACAGCCTGTGAAGTGGGCCAGGGGGAGGGGGAGTCATAGAGGAGAGGAGGAGGGAAAAGGGAAATGGACAAAGCCAACTAGAGGAGGGAAGGCTGGGGCAGAGGGGACATGGGATGCCATCACAGAGCCATCAAGTCTTGGCTGTCCCAAAATCTTGGACCAGTTGAGCATCCCCGTAGCTCAGGGATATTGTTGAAGTATTTTTAATCATCTGTGTTTTCAGTACCTTGGCCCCAGTATAGAATGTGATCCAATGAGTGTCAGAATAACCCATTCTCTGTTCTTCAGACCCAGACACTTTTGAACCCCAAAAATTCTTCCAGACGTCAGGCCTCTCCAAGATGTCAGCCAGTCAGGTGAAGGACGTTTTCCGGTTCATAGACAACGACCAGAGCGGGTACCTGGATGAAGAGGAGCTTAAGTAAGCTTTGTCCTGAGTCTGTCTGGTACCCGGCACTGCTGGGTGGCCCTGGGGTGCAATGGGGGCCAGGATGCTGAGTATTTCTTCAATGGCCAGCCTCAGTGTTGGTCATTCAGCCAAGCATCATTAAAGCAAAGGATATGAGTCAGTTGACCACACATCTACCCAGGCAAAGCCCTCAACACGGGCAGTGAAGACTGCAGGTGCAAAGATTCTTTTCTTTTTTCTGAGACAGGATCTCGCTCTGTCACCCAGGCTGGAGTGCAGTGGGATGATCTCAGCTCCCTGCAGCCTCCGCCTTCCAAGTTCAAGTGATTCTCATGCCTCAGTCTCCCAAGTAGCTGGGATTACAGGTGCATGCCACCACGTCCAGCTAATTTTCATATTTTGAGTAGAGATGGGGTTTCACCATGTTGCCCAGGCTGGTCTCAAACTCCTGGCTTCAAGTGATCCTCCTGCCTTGGCTTCCCAAAGTGCTGGGATTACAGGTGTAGGCCACCACACCCCGCCACAAAGATTCTTTGGTGTAAGGGATTTCCTATGGCAAATGGACTTTAAAAAACTAAAACTTTGGCTAAACGTGGTGGCTCACGCCTGTAATTCCAGCTACTCAGAAGACTGAAGCACAAGAATCACTTGAAATCAGGAGGCAGAGGTTACAGTGAGCTGAGATCATGCAGCTGCACTCCAGCCTGGGTGACAGAGAGAGACTCTGTCTCAAATAAATAAATAAATAAAAATTAAAAACACTAAAAGCTTAAAAATGGGCCAGGCACTGTGGCTCACACTTACAATTCCAGCCCTTTGGGAGGCTGAGGTGGGCGGATTACTTGAGTGAGCCCAGGAGTTCAAGACCAGTCTGGGCAACATGACAAAACCTTGTCTCTACAAAAAAATACAAATATTGGCTGGGCGTGGTGGCTCAAGCCTGTAATCCCAGCACTTTGGGAGGCTGAGACGGGTGGATCACGAGGTCAGGAGATCAAGACCATCCTGGCTAACACGGTGAAACCCCGTCTCTACTAAAAAATACAAAAAAA